TCGACTATTTAGTCGATCTCCTCTCATATCGGCTCTCAGAGCCGCACATTCGGGACTGTCTGGCAACACCGGCATGTTCTGCCCTTAATTACTGATAAACTTTCTCTCCTTGTCAATTGCAGGGTCAAATTGACTGGCACGTCTCGGGAGGATTGCGTAGGATCGACCACCCTTGCGCTGAAGCTAGGCGGATCTGCTCCATCGAGCGGACCCTTCCGGCTTGCTGCGTGTGTCCTCGGCACGAGACGAAATTCTGTGTCGACTGTACTGGATCTTGGTTCCACTCAGTGGCCTTCCTCAGGTTTGTGTAAAACACTGGCAATTTCTCCACTTCCTTCCTTTCAACTGTCACAACCTTAACATGACTAAAGACCTTGGGCAAACTACAAACATGATTTGCTACAATGTCATCCCAATTGATACCAGAACAAATCATATCATGATGATAAAGATAAATGACCAGGTTCCTCACCCTATCAATCACAGACATCATGACCATTGTGTCACTATAAGTCTCTATAAGTTTCAAACCATCTGTTATTGTCTTCCCTAGCAATAACCAATGCACCTTTAGTGTACATGATTCCTTATCATAACCTAACTCTTCCACAAAGTCCTTTATTCATAGGGGTGACCAAGTATCAGCATCACACTGATCAAACCAGTCAATTTTTTCATCGAGGTAAGCATGGTTCTCCCGAACATCAGCCTAGGCATTCGGTTTAAATCGACAAATCGGTTCAGTATGTTCGGTTTCAAAAAATTTCGGTTTCCAAGCTATGGCAACCGATTGGTTTGTGACAGAACTAAAAACCGATGAATTCGGTTTCGGTTTGTTCGGCTCGGTTTTTTGGTTTAAACGAACTAACCCGAGCATCTGGTCCACTGGTCGCCGCCGCTGCAAGTCCTGCTCGCCGTCGCATCTGGGTGTGGCCTCCTTGCCCGCTTCCGTGCCTTGGCCTGTCCTAGGAGCTGCGTGGCCTACACCTAGGCCCCTGCTTGCTGGATGCCACTGTAGGTCACCGGACGCCACCGCTGCAGCCTTGCTCGTCGTCGCTAGCCGCCGATGCGCATGCACCGCCCGCAGCCGCCGCCGATGCGCGCGCCCCGCCCGCAGCCGTTGGGAAGTGCGAGGTCCACCGCTGCCACCGGCCGCTAGGATGCACCGTGCGTGCAGTTGCGCCTTGCATGAGGCACGCGAGGCGCCGCCACTCGGCATCTCAGCCGCTGGGTGCTGGGAGCCTATAAGGGTTTGGTGGTCTGTTGTGTGGAGTATTTATTTGGGGGAGCTAGTTGGGCCAACTTTGAGTTGGGCCGAACGACGGAAGGGAGGGCGTGCGCGATTGTTTCTGCGATTCTGGCATCCTAAGATGCAAATCTCGGTGGATCGGTTGCTCGGTTCGGCTCGACGCAGAAACCGAAGTCGACACCGATCACCGAACTCGCTGAAAGCAGAAACCGAAACCGAAACCGAAACTGAACAACCGAACAACCGATACTTCGGTTCGGTTCGGTTTACGGTTTTCGGCTAAAATCTGCCCAGTCTGACCTGAACACCAACAAAAAAAACACCATGATGCACCTCTAGACTAAACTGGTTAGACCCTGACCTACATTTCAACCAATTTTCAACATTCAGTTCAAAAATTTTCTCATCCATACCAAGAACCCTAGAAGACCGCCATTCATGCCTACAAATCAATTACTTTCAAATGAAAATGATCTAAATCTATCGTAACGCCCACAAATCCATAGCAAATACTCAATAGAGGGTCCAGATGAAGATAGGGTTTCTTCAACTCACCGTATTCAGCAGCTGGCTTTCCTTTCTGACGCAATTTGGCGGCCATCTCCCCCACTGCCCGTGCCTAGAGGGCCCTCTAGGCGGCCGTCGAGTCGTCCTCGCTCTCCGCCCGTGCCGCCTCCACGAACAGCACCACTTGCTCGGCGTCGCCACGCTCCGCCCCTCCCCTTTTCCCACTTTTGTCGAGGTCCGTCCGAGAGAAAGGAAAGGAGTGAGGTGGAGAAGATGAGATCGTACGGGGGTTTTTGGCTAAAAAGCTAGTACCTGCCGAGGGTCACGTGTGCCTCACGTGTGTACGTGGACAGCCACGTCGACTGTTTGACACCACCTGGGCTGTTTAGGACCTACATGGACCGAATTAAGTAGATTGGGGAGTCAACAGTGCGGTTTCGTAGTTTGGGGACCCAGACGAAATCAGCCTAATACTTTAAGGACCGGCCGTGCAATTTACTCTAGTTTATTCGTTTTAATTTTGTTTTGCTTGGTTCAAGTTGCGTTAGATTTATGTCAATGCACTCTACGCACTAGTACCAATGCTTTTCATGTCACATGTTTTTCTATATATAGTTGAATATTAAATTGATTAATATATATGCAACCAATTTTACAATTAAAAACAACCTAGTTAAATGTCGATCTTTCGTAAATAAACTCTAACTTGATTAATGTTAATATATATTTTTATAATTATAATTTGGTTAGTTCAAACACGCTCTATATACAAATTTTGAATTAGATGTTCTCACATGTTTATTTCTTTTGCAAAGTCAAAGTTTAATTCGGTTAAATGATGCATGCATGTTTTATAAATAAAATAAAATCAGGCAAGTTTAACTCAGATTTCTAAATTAAATATGATGTCTAATCTGAATTAGAAACTTCTCCATGATTTTTTTAACTAAAATAAATCAAGCTTATAGTAGTTTCTTTTATAATATAAAATCCCGATAGTCGTTTCTTTTTTACGACAATTCCATTATTGGTGTTTCTTGCATTCCCGTGACCGTTGATACAATCTCTCTTTCAGTACGTTGTTTTAGAGCTTTTGGTTATGATTGGTGTATTGTTCTTAGTTGTCTTTACTTTGTCTGTTTGTATGTTTTTTGTGTTTGGTGTTTACTATGAGTAGAAGTGAACCATACTTAAACGTTGGAGACTAGAAGCTGAGTGTCAGAAGTTACAGAACAGAAAATGATGTTGAAGATTCTCTAAGCAAGTTGCTTTGGGGGTAAAGCAAGAGTAAGGCAAGTATAATATGAGACTCCTTGTTACCTAATAACATTATAATCATCTTTTCATGTGCATGTGTCTAATATGATAAATCATTAAGGACCTTACATAGTAACTTTTGTTACCTTGTTCCTTGTTACCTACTGGGTTTATGCATTTGGGTAGTTCTTGCTTGCTCTACTTAATGATGAAAGCTCCATAATAATGGCTAATGGTATATGCAATGATGTTTAAAATGTGCTTTTTAGCAATATTGAATCATAAGGACTTATCTGTCAGCAAAATTCGGGACTTACAGTACAACTATAAGGGCTATATGGCTCTGGCTTTAGTCAAGTATAAGGACATTTTCTAGCTTGTTAGTGGTTACCTTTATGACGCAAAAGGGGTGTGTTCCGAGTTGGGTGTAGTGCGGCCTCTGTTCTTAAGTGTATAGCCTGCGCATAATGTGCCTTAAGAAAGGGGAGCTCTACATTTGTAGGCCATAGAAATCTAGCGGTCCTAACTTGTTAGACGAACCTTTAAAAGATTTCATAGTGAACTCTGCCGACCTTCCTTGGTGAAAGTATAAATCACGGCTCATGGTGAAAGTGTACAACCTCTACAGAGTGTAAAACTGTTATAATAGTCGTGCTCACAGTCACGAGCAGCTTGGAAAACTCACGGAATTATGGGTTCTTATTTTACTATGATGTTGATGCTCATGTTTAATCATTATTGTCATATTGTCATTACTTATGATCTTATGGAAACTGGAGCTTAAGCATAATTTAGCAACTCAGGTTCTAATGATAAAACTGGATCTACTAAAATTGCTTACCGCAGTTCAGTCGTGTCAAACCATTTGAGCCTACATCCTCTCATATTATGCTTGTTAAGCGGTGGTTTGCTTATGCTTGCTTTACTTTTCAATTACTTTAGAAAATCCTAGATGGGTACCAGATAGTGGAGCAAGTGAGTTTTCTAAGAAGTGCCAGGCGTATGTACCCTAGTCAGCCATCTCTGTGAAGAATGGAGCCTAAAGATTAGTTATTGTTCCACGATACTATGATGTAAGTGTTAAATATGAGTATATTTCCGCTATATAACATTGTTTCTGATATCCATCCTTTCTGTGGTTGTATGTGTAGACTTTCTGGGCATACATATGGCGAGCCTGGTTTTGTTCTTAAAACCGGGTGTGACACAGCCTATACCACTAAGGGAGGAAATTCCTCATTTTTTGAAAAAGCTTTCAGATGACATGCAGGATCAGCTGCCATGCTGTAACTGTGGTTAGATCAAGGGACCCAAACACTCTTTATAGCCTACCGATGACATGATTGTTGTAACCAATGTAATATTTTTGGTTACTTTTATCTCATTTGCCGGGCACATACAAGAATGATAAAACTTTTTTTGTGCAACATGACATTTGTGTTGCTCTTACAGAAAATAATTCTTATACTAATAAAAAGATGCTAACATTTTCTTACATGGAACGTTGTATTTAAGTTATTTCTTTGCTTGGGCATCCGCTGCATGTAACTTGCTCCCTCAATATGCCTCACGGCAAATGCAGTGCAGAACTATATATATAAAAAAGGGAAATCGGCGTGAATCAAATACGGGCGCCAATCAGGGTCCCCTGCACTGTTCCTTATTGTTTGCACTACTGTTTCTTACTGTTTGTTGCACCCTATTTAACCGCTGTTAACCACTATTCACGCGCTGTTTACTGTATCGATTCTCTTGACGCTTCCGCCTCTGCCAGCGCGGTGTCAGCGCGCCCACCCGTGCTAGTAATATTTAAATAAAAGGGAAATGCCCTGACCATATGCATGATTGAACTTCGTGAGGTTAAACATAATCCCTGAAGATATCTTATTTTGCTTTTCCCAGAGTAAAAAGAACAATCATTCACTGATCTTATAACATCCGGATATCCATGGACATGATTAACAGGCACATCAGAATTTTATGGCTATTAAAGAGGAAGGTCCAGACCCTTGCCCACCTCCACCCCAATTATCTGAAGAATCCCTTTGTTTAGCACCTGAATTAAGAAGCCACCTTCAGAAATTCAAGTACAAGCAATTCTCCAAACATTTACATGTTTGTGAAGACAAATAGACAATGTAGTGAATTCCTTCATTACCAGTTCCACAAGGAAGGTGCCGATGAGGCCAATCATGCAGGCCCTGGAGTTCCAGATCTCGGCAGTCTCGGTGAAACCCAAGAAAGGCTCGCTCAGCTTTGGCTGCACCCTGGGCACTTCAACCTGAATACAACAGAAAACGAACAGCTAACTGTAGAAACTCTTTGGACTAATCTTTTGCAGTAACCGGAAGCATTTTTTTCCCCGCTTGTGTCACTCACCCCTGGAGGAAGCTTTGCAGCACTTACTCTCAGAGCTACGGCTCTAGGCGACGGCAGGCAAGGAGTAAGTCTCTTGTTGGGTTTATTTTGGTATAGGGGTTGATGAGCCAAGAAGGACGATGGTGCAGAAAGAGCACAGCTTGCTGCCATTGCTGGGATTGTTTCTTTTGGTGTAGCTCTACTTTCGGTTCCTTCTGTATAGAGGACAAGACGAATAAATCTGAGGAACGGACGTGGTCACATTTGGGCCTTAGCAACCTCTCAGAAACATAGCCACTTGACGGCATGAGGCTATGGGTTTACTGGAAAGAAATAGGACACTTCCATTTTCTTCATTCCCATTAAACTTGCTCGTTACACTCAACTCTGAAAATATCAAATCGATCCTAAAACACCCTAGAAAGACAGTAATAACTTGCAAATGTCCATTTAGAGAACAAGTGACCGGTACCATTAAAGAAGATTTTTTTAAAAAAATAATATTTTGATAATTATTTGCGAATCTAGAAGCTATTGTAGGAGTATTGCAGATATAGTACCCGTCGGCCATGCAAAAGCCAGCAGGGGTCCTATCGGCAACTAAGCGGCCGACATGCCTACGTGTTGCCTATGTGGTAGTGTCGTCGGTCATCCATGTGCCCTGTCATCGCTGATAGGAGACCTGTTGGCCGCTTGACGGCCCATAGGTCCAGCCAGACATGCCGGCAATCACACAGCCGATAAGCTTATTTCATGTAGAAACATAGTACTCCCTCCGTCTTAGAAAGAATGCAATTTTAGCATAGTATCTTGACCAATTATAACTATAAATGAGCGAGTTTTTTGGGAGGTTCTCCCTCTATAATACCCGGTCCAAATGTCATCTTATCTAAGCCTTCCATCATCCAGAGATGTAAGATTTTGACACTTCAGAAGTTACAATTTTACCCTTTGTTTGTTTAAGTCACGTTGTTTTACATATGGTGATTTTATTGTTTTAGTTACGTTATTTTACATTTGCCGATTTACGAACAATCATACATCATTAATAAATCCTAATCTCTCAAATTGTTTCTACACGTACAGTATTATATAGTTGAAATCATATTCTGTCACGTTTACATTACTGCCTGATCATGGATTCTTTTAAGGTCAGAAAAATATGAAATCATCGTGTAGAGCACCGTCTGGTCTACAGTCTCTACTTTAGATACTTTTTTTTGCACTCGTGAACAAGCGACTTCAGCTCCACTAGATGATACCACTCATTCATATAATTTGTAAATTTCTTTAACGTTTTATAGATCCAATAAATAATTGATCAATATATCTTTATATTTAAAGAAATTATTGATGATATATATGAATTGAAATATCTAGAATTCAGTTAAAATTTTCATTGTATTTAAAATAATTTTTGTAAACACGGACATATTTGCTAGTATGTAAGAACGTCAGCCATTATTGACGATAGACACTTTTTTTTATGAGAGACGATAGACACTTAAGATCCGCAGTAGTGTCTACTGACGAAAATATTGCATCGTTGTTGGGCTCTTTAGTTTTTACCAGCTACTGATATGCTCGAATTTGTTTTGGCCCAGATAACAGGCCCATCTAATACGCTTCTTTTGCAACACAGATAATCTGGCGCAGCCCAGCAATGTTTGTGGCTTGGTCCACCTTTATGGATCCCAGGAAGCACGTGTTTGGTAGGTTAGGCATGCACTATGTTGTCAACATAACCAATTCTTTTATGTATTCATTCATGGTCAAAGTATAATTTATGTATTTTTTTGTTAAACAGTTCAAGGGAGTATAAATGTAGTACAAGTTTATGACGCTGGCGTGACATGACAAAGGGATAGAATAGAGAACCTTCTCTGCTCTATCTCCTCTCACTCTCAGGCAGGCACAACATTTACTACGACTAGTTGTGGTTGGACCATCCGTGTCACAATTTTTTCTTTTCCATCTCTTGGAAAATCTCAGGATATCTTGTTCCTCCTTCAAGGGATCGAATTGAAGGTTGTTGCAGCGTCGTGATGTATAACTCTATACTTGGACAGGACCGGCAGAAACGACCCTTGACTAAACCAATAAAGTGAACGCGTTTGTCATTAAAGCCCTAATTGGATCACATGTTCGACCTCGACCCCTAGCTAGAGCTAGATGCAGTCCAGAAAGGAGAAGGACCATGCAGAACAGGCCGAGTGACGAAGATGAAACGTAACGCGTCGTCGTTCATCGCTGCAGCCTGCAGGCAAGCTCGAGGCTGCTTCCTTGCGGTTTTTGCTTGCTTTGCCCAAAACACAAGATATATGTATCTGTCACCCTCGCCGATCGAGAAAAAGAGAAGAATTTTGCCTAGCTTCCCCGCAGAAAGACAAAGTAAAAAAGGAAAACGCACTACGTAAAAAACGGGTTTTAGCAATGGTTCAATTTTTTTTTTTTGTAGGGGCGGCTGGTGATGGAGCCGTCCCTACAGTGGCTTGCTCGGATGCCCAGATATCAGCCGCCCCTATAAATAAAACAGCAGGGGCGGCTGGTGATACGAGCCGCCCCTACAAATGGAGTATGATTTTTAGGGGCGGCTCAATCACCAGCCGCCTCTAGAAATAGTAGGACACAGGAGGTTGGTGATGATCTGAGCCGCCTTTACAAATGGAGTATGATTTTTTAGGCGGCTCAATCACCACCGCCTCTAGAAATGGTATTTGTAGAGGTAATTTGGTGATTGAGGTGCCCCTAAAATCATACTCCATTTGTGAAGGCGGCTCAGATTATCCACCGCCCTACAAATGACCCTCGATAAAAGCTGCAAAGCACCTTCTTCCTCCTCGGGTCATTCACTCCAACCCGTGAAAGAAAGTTGGGAGGGCTTGGGCACCTCCCAAAAATTGCTCTACTAAGGAGGGAAGGTTTTGGTCTCAAATCCTTTGGTGGAGAGGTTGTAGAAGGTAAGAAAATTCTATTCCACACTTTTTTTTGAAGTTTTAATGGTTGATTAGTGAATAATTAGAGTTTTGTTTCTCTCTCTCTTCTATGGTGCTTGAGCTATTTATGAGCAAATTAGACCCAACTTTTAAATGTACTAGGGTAAATTAGGGAGGGGAACAAGATCATACCCTTATTTGGTCCATGTTTCTTGATTTTAGTGAACCATTAGTTAGTTTTATGGATGTTTCATGTGCATGTGATCTAGATCTAGGGTTTGGTTTTTTTATTAATTTCGTTTTTGGAAATTTATGTTTGATAAAATTGGACTAGGGTTTGTACGAAAGATATTGTGTAAAGTATAATTATTGCTAATTGTTGTCTTTGAAATTGTTTATTATAATCAATAAATATGTATTTTAATTATTTATGGATAAATGGGCCATTAATTAATTTTCCTCTACCATGGTGTGTTTGTATGCTTCATGTAATTATATTAGATTTATATTCATATATATCTGAGGTATATATAATTATTCTCAAATAATTATTACTTTGATTAATTTTTATATATATCTAAATAAGTAGTCCTTTAATGTTTATTTTGTTGTTGTTGTAAAAGATGGAGTACAGGAACTCTTGGATGTATGGTTCGTTAAGGTTCAAGCGGGTTTCCGTGAAGAGGTGGATAAATTTATTGAAGCCTTGAGCGAAGCATAAACGACATTGAAAGAGAATAAGGATACAATTATTTGCCCTCAGTAAAGATTGCAAGAACCGTATGGCATGGACGGATGTGACTATCATCAGATCACATTTGATTATACGAGGATTTGTTGAGGACTACACAGTGTGGATTCATCATGGTGAAACGGTTATTGTTAACGACGAGGATGAGGAGGAATACGACGATGAAACCATAGAATCCCTGTCCCAATATTCAGCCGAGCTTGATGCACAAATGGATTTCGAGTTTGGCAATGAACAAGGTGGTGATCTTTGGTGGTTGGGATGGTAACGACGAAGGTGGTGCCAATAATGATGGTGGAGCACGTGTCGGAGTTGAAGATGATTTAGATGACATGATTCGAACCCTTGGACCAGAGATTTTACTAAATAGCCCGAAAGGTCTAAAAAATTTGGAAAGAGTGACAAAAGCATCGAAGGAGACTGTGTATGGTGTTGAAAAGGGTTGTCCGACACATTGGACATTGCTACGTTCGTGCTTGAGCTGCTCATCCCGAAGGCTAAATACGGTATTTGGTCGATCAGTAGTTTCAATGATCTATTGCATCTCTCTGTCATGGGTGCCGCCACAACCAAACTCGGTTCCGCCAACACATACCAAGCGAAGAAGATCATAAGTCCATTGACAATGGGGTTGAAAAATACATGCATGCCCCAACCCATTTGATACTTTTTTCGTGGTGAAACGTTCAAGTCATTGGATAAATGTCCCGGTGTGGGGCCAGCCGGTACAAGAACAATGACCTTTACGGTGGGGACGAACCATCCACGGGAAAAAGAGGAATAAGAAGGGTACAAAAAAGGTGGTACAAGAATCTCAGCCCCCAGAGGACACTCCATTAGGCAACGATGCAAAACAGAGAAGAATTTCGCCTCGGTAATATGGTACCGCCGGTGACCGACCGCTTGAGACGTATGTTCCTAAACCCTAAAGAAGCCGCACTCATGACATGGTGGGATGATGAGCGCAAGGTGGATGATGATAAGATTGCACACCGGTGATTGTAGTCAAGTGGCAAAGGTTTGATGAGAAGCACAAAGAATTCAAGCGATGACCCAAGGAATGTACGGTTTGGCACTGAGCAATCGATGGAATGAATCCCTTCAATGAGAGGATGAGCAACCACAAAGACATGGCCGTGATCTTGACCATGTACAACATCCCAACATGGTTGTGTCGAGAAGAGAAAGTACCTTCTCCTCACTATTCTTATTACGGCCCTAAACAACTGTGCATTGATATAGACGTGTTCCTCGAGCCCTTGATGCAAGAAATGGAGAGACTATGGAGGCATGGGGAGCGGATGTACGATGCGTCCGAAAGGAGGACTTCATATGTAGAGCAATAATATTTGTTACTACCAATGATTACCCCACGTTGTTTGCTTTGTGCGGGACAGGATCAAAGGAAGACGGATGCTTGGTTTGCTTGGATGGTACTACATGGGTGTACTGGATGCATCCAAGAAGATAGTTTACCTAAGGAA